TCTCAAGGAGATTGGTAAATCGTGCTTGCCCTTCCTACCCTCGCTCAATCCGTCCTCCCGTCTGCCCCTCATGTTTACCTCTTCTCGTAGTCTTTCGATGTCGCGTGTCATCCCGGCTTTTTCTTTCTTGTGACACTGCTGTTCCTTCTCAGAAGCGTCCCTTTTTTGTTTTTCTGCCTGCTCGAGGGCTGGGAAGAGGGCGGGAGAGATGGAAAGGATGGAGAATGAAAGGAGGGGAAGCAGAAGTCGACAGAGGAAAATATGAGATGACCCTGGTTCGCTATTACGTCGCTATTAGTACATGCAGATACGCTATTTCTCTTTAGATCTTCTCATTTGTGTTCCATCACTCACTTTCCTTCTTCTCACCTGCTATTGCCTTTTTCTGATCGTCCAACATCGCCTTTTTCGCCTCTAATTCTGACTTTGCCTGTGCTAGATTAGTTTCTAAGCACTTATGGCGGGAGGGGTGAGAGAGAGAGGGAAGGGTAGAAGTGGGGGGGGGAGTAAGACGAGAAATCCGAGCTTGAAGGGAAAACTGGCACGTAGACGAATGTTGGTTGGGGGGGGATGAGAGGGAAGGAGAGCAAAGACGGGTCCGCAAGAGGGAGGTCGGGACGGAGAGCAAGGGCTTTCGGGGTCCTGTAGCGTGCAACCTACCGCTTTCTTCTCGGAAAGGGCAGAGAAGATCGCTTCGTCCCTTTTGGCGTGCGTTTTGTATGAAGCTAGCAGGCGCGACGTGGCAGAGAGCGTCTCCCGTACTTACCGGAGGAAGCAAGATAGGGAAAGAGAAAAAGAGCAGAGAGTGCGTGACAATATCTTTATGACATGAAATATTCGAAAAAGCAAGCACTTTCCCAAGATGAATGCGGGCTGGAATCAGAGGGGAAATGGAGGGAGAACAAGAAGGGACATGGAATGGAAGCTTGAAGGGGAGACAAAGTACGTGCATCGTAGGTAAACGCCCTCCCTTCCTCACAAAAATTCCTCCTTGACGTACGTGTGGCTGTTTCTCTCTCCCTCTCCTTCCCCTCCCGCTCCCTAGCCTCCTGCGCCAGCAGCAGCGCCTGTCACACCGACGGGAATCAGATGGTGGTGGTCCCCCTTCTCTTTTCCCGTGACTTCAATACCTGCCCCATTTCCAAGCCCCTGTAGTCGCTGTACCTTTTCATATTTCTTCACACTTGCGTGGTAATTTTGGGCGGCCTCATTTGCCTCCTCGGCTAACTTTTTCCGCCTCAGCTCTACTGAGGTTGTCATTGCCTGAAAGAAGGCAGATGATCATGAAAGATCAGTCGCAGAGACGAAGCAGGGGGAGCAATGGGAAAAAGAAAGGGAGGAACGAGAGGAGGAAAAGGACACTACCTGAAGCTCAGCCTGTGCGTTCTCCTTTGTCACCCGCACTGTTTCAT